ACTTGTATTTAAAACTTCTTTTGCTAAGGGTTGAAGAAACTCACCTGGTGTTTTCAGACTTGTCAACCCAAAGGTTCCTAATAGCTGAAAAGCAGTTAACAAGCAATTTCTGAAAGGGATTAGGAAAGGAAGTATGTGAACCCAGTGTCTTTAAAGGCGCCAATCTTGGTTTGAGCCAGATGGCTATTCCCTCATCTCCTACAGCTCTGTCTTATGGTCTCCTCATGAGGAGCAACTATATGGAGCACTTGTGGGTGATCTCAAGTCTCTCCTTGTCCAGAATGGAATTACAAACAGCCTGTCTACTCACCGGCTCTTCATTCCGCTGCAGTTATCAGCTCCGCTTTTAGTGGAGTCATCTTCAGTTCACCATTTCTTCCTCGGAAGTCAGCATTGCTTTTCATTCTGAGCAGTATTTATTCAAGATGTTGGCACAGGGAGGTGAAGCTGGAATAGTCACTGGCTTGCTATAAGAAATTTGGATTGCCCACTGTGATGCAAGTCAAACTACCATGATTCTTATTCAAGTGTTGGGGCAGGTCACAGGGATATCATCTTTATAACTATTTCTTCTGTTATTTTAGATTATTTTCAGCTTGGAGATCTCAAGGATGCAGACATGGCATGTGAAAGAACAAGGGTTACAACCAGCTTGCTCAATCCTGGCCCCTTTTGGCATGAAAGAAACTTAAGAATGATTGGAATGTTTACAATTGTTGATTAATCTTATTTAATCATCTTAATTGGCTATTTTTAGCCATAATAAATATTTTAATATAAAATACAATTATAAATAATGGACAAAAATGCAACATTTTGACAATAAACTAATTGTCATCAGGCAAAAACAAAGAATGGTCAGTTAAATGAAGGTGGGTGTCAGAATCCTCGCAAGATTTAATAGTAGATTGTTATGTTGGCTAGTTTAGCAATTGCTGTTTACATGCTCCGGTTCTGCCATTGTAAAAGGGGTGGGGGAGAAGGAATGGGAAACCGTTAGAAGCAGATGGCTCCTTATCACAGGCTCTGGCATGCTCAAGGTCGTATCAGCAAGGGAATCAGGAGACCAGGAGGTAAGGGGGCTGAAGGAGGGAAAAGTAAGAAAAACAACTTTTGGTGCGCTCAAGCTCAGTCTTAGCAA